TCGGGGAGGAACCGACGCAGGGTCGGGGGACGGAAGACCGAGCAGGCGAAGGGCGGACACCGGCGGGGACCGCTGCTGCGGCGGCACAACGGCGACACCTGGACCGCAAGCTGCTCCTCGGCTACCACCGGCACTCTCCACACCAGCACCCCCAAAGGGACCACTCCCAGGGCGACCGGGACGAGCACCCCCAGAGTCAGCGAACGGGGGCTGCGACGGCGGCGGCGGCGGCGGCGGAGGCGACGGCGTCGGCGGCGACGACGACTGCTGCAGCAGCGGTAGTGGCGGTGGAGGAGGGGACTGGGGAGGGGACACCTGGGGAGGGGCGGCCGGCGAGGACTGCACAGGAGGGCCACCAGAGTCAGAAGACTCCTCAACCGGGTCCACAGACGGAAGGGGGGTGACGTGGGACACACCAGAGGGGGCGGGACGGGGAGGAGGAGGAGGAGGGGCAGGGACTACCGGGGAAGGGGTGACCAGGAACAGGGGGGGGGTAACCGGGGGACCACGGTGGGGAAAGCGGCGGTAGTAGGAGACGGACTCGTCAAAGGTAACGTCACGAGAGTGAAAGAAGCGGTGAGACGGCGGGTGGTAAAAGTGCCAGTCGGACGCGTCAAGGGGAAAACCGAGGAAGACGCAGGGAAGGGTGCGGGCAGTGAGCTTGTCCGTGCCGGAGGCACGGACGTGAGCAAGGCAGCCCCAGACGTGGAACGCAGACGCGTCACCAGGGGACCCAGTCCAAAGACGGGTCGGCGAAACCTGCGGCTGCTGAGGGTGCGGCCACAAGTTAAGCTGGTGAGAAGCGTAGCGCACAGCGAACGGCCACAGAAAATGGGGTGCACCGGCATGGATCATGGAGGTGCGAGCGACCTCCATGACCAAACCGATGCGTCGCTCAGCGACCCCATTCTGCTGTGGGGAGTCCGGTAGGGTGAACGTCTGGGTGATGCCCTCCGCACGACAAAAGCGACCAAGGACACCAGAGGCAAACTCGCCACCACGGTCTGAGTGAAGACGCAAGACAGGGAGACCGCGGTGGACACGCGCAAAGACAAGCCAGGGGATGAGAGCGCCAGGCACGTCGGCCTTGCGCTCCAGGGGAAAGACTGTGGTGTAACGAGTGAAGTCGTCGACAAGCACAAGGAAGTAGCGCTCTCGACGCGGCCCAGGGACGGGGGCGGGGCCCTAGACGTCCAGGTGCAGGGTCTGAAGCGGCGCGGCGGTAGGGGGAAACGAGGAGGAGTGAGGGGCACGGCGAAGCCGACCCTCGACACAAGGCGTGCAAGGTGGGGCTGGAGAGGAGGGAAACGCGGGGAGCGAACCTGGGAGACCAAGGACGAGACTGTGCTGAGACAAGTGACGCAGACGCGGGAGCGCAGGATGACCTAGGCGGTGGTGCCACAGGAGGGTCGGGTGAGTGAGGGAGCGACAGGAGCAGGCAGCAGCAACCTGGGTAGATGCAGCCACCTGAGGGGGCGCTCCAGCCGGGGGGGTCAGGGTGTCCAGAGTGAACAGGCCGGACACCGGGTCCCGGGGGAACGTGGACAGGGGGGCACCAGTGGCGGCCTCGGTACAGACAGCATACCGCTCGTGACCAGGGAACGTAGTGGTGACGCCAAGGTCCTGGAGGCAGCCGACACCAACTAGGTTCCTGGAGAACGAGGGGATATGCAGACCTGTAAGAGAACCCGAAGGAACCGCCGGACAGGGAAGGGTGGCGGAACTGCGGGCGACTACCGGACCGCCGGAGGGGTCAGCAAGAGAAACGGCAGCAGGAACAGGAAGCGGCGTCAGGGTGGTGGAGTCGCGGAAGAAACACCGAGAGGCGCCAGAGTCCAAGGTGAAGGAAAGCGAAGCCGAGAGGTCTGGCGACGGAACGACGGCGGAAGCACCAAGACTACACAAAGCAGGGGATCCTACGCCTGACGCAGCAGGGGAGGCTAAGCTAGGAACACATACACTAGGCAACAGTGAGTAATAAGCGGGAAGCACACTAGAGTCATCAGCATACATCACATGCAGAGCAGAAAAAATGGCATCCATGTCCATATCAAAAATCTGAATCTGACGACTAAGCAAACTGTGCCAGTCCGGGAGGTCTGGCGACGGGCCGAAGCGCTGACGAAAGAGGTCGTCCAGGCGACGAAAACAGCGGGGAGTGGAGTGACCGATCTTACCGCAAACGAAGCCGCGGCGAGGACCGGTCTGGATCTGGTACTGACAACGCCCGCCGCCAGAGCCACCACGCGGCACACCACCACGCGCCCGGCCACCGCCTGGCGGGAGGACACTCGTCTGCCGCGTCTGCGACGGCTGCTGCGGCTGCTGCGAAGGCTGCGACTGCGGCGGCTGCTGCGGCTGCTGCACCTGCAGGGGCGGCGACTGAGCTGAACTGGGCAGGGTCCCCTCGTCCACTCCAGCACCAGGCGACCCGACCCCACCACTACCCCCGCCCGCACCCCCGCCGCCTCCTCCGCCGCGCCCAGCCTTGGGGCGGCGGCCCTTCCCCGAACGGATCTGCGCTGCAGCAGCAGTCTCAGCCACTGCGGCAGAGCCGTCGGAGAAGGTGCACTGAGCGGGGGCACAACCCTGAAAGATAGGGACCGGCACGACACCGCTCGCCTGGGCAATGGAGCGGTGACGGGTCTCTATCACAGTCAGGGTGTCTACAAAGTCAGTGAGGGTGAGGTCTGCGGGGTGAACGCTAAGAAAGCGGTCGCGGGCGACAGCAAGGCGGTCAGGGAGGCGAGTGGCAAGCAGGTAGAGGGTAGAGGTAATGGGCGGCTGGTGGGCTCTAAGCTGGGCGTCAGTGCAGGCAGCGCGCCAGGTCTCATCTATCGAGCGCAGGTGGGCAGCGAGGTCAGAGACAGTGGGGAAAGATGCAAGGTCAGGAAAGAGCATCGGAAGGATCAGGCGACCCACCGAGGCAGCCGGAGGGGTGGAATAGCGCTTGATCACAGCATCTAAGTATGCCTGAGCAGTAGTGAGGGACCTAAAGCGAGGACGCTCGGATGGGGGAAGGGCGTTGCTAATGGCAAGCTGGGCAACAGCATCGCGAGAAAGCCAGACAGAGCGCGCACGGGCAGTGGCAGCAGTAGACTCACGCTCAGTGGGTGTGGGGTCAGCGGGCAGAATAGCAGGGGGGTCTGGGCAGGGGAGCGTACCGTCAAGGTGTGCGGAAAGCGGTTCACCATCCTGCCGCTGGCCAGTGAGTTGACGGCGGAGGTCGGCAAGCCACGCCTCGAACTCTAGGGGCTGACCTTCAGCGTCGAAGCGAAGCTCCGCCGCCATCAGGAACAGTCCAGTGCAGTGTAGGGCAGTGCAGTGCGGTGCAGTGCGGTGTAGTGCGGTACAGTGCGGTGCAGTGCGGTGCAGTACGGTGCAGTGCGGTACAGTGCGGTGTAGTGTGGTGCAGTGCGGTGTAGTGCGGTGTAGTGCGGTGCCAGGCAGTACAGTGTGGTGCGGGGCGGCACGGAGCAGGGCGGGGTGTGGGGGAACCGTACCAGTGAGGAGGACGGGGCCGGGGCTGGCCCGACGGGGCCGGGCGGGTGCGACGGGGCCGGGCTGGTGCGACAGGGCCGGGACGGGGCGACGGGGCCGAGCGGGCGCGACGGGGCCGGGCTGGGGCGACGGGGCCGGGCGAGTGCGGCAGGGCCGGGCCGGTGCGACGGGGCCGGGCGAGCGGGACGGCGGCCGGGCGGGTGCGACGGGGCCGGGCGGCTGCGACGGGGCCGGGCAGGGTGGGACTGGGCCGGGCGGGTGCGACGGGGCCGGACGGCTGCGACGGGGCCAGGCAAGGGCGACGGGGCCAGGCGGCTGCGACGGGGCCGGGCGGGCGCGACAGGGCCAGGCGGCTGCGACGGGGCCGGGCGGGCGCGACGGGGCCGGGCAGGTGCGACGGCGCCGGGCGGGCGCGACGGGGCCGGGCAGCTGCGACGGCGCCGGGCGGGCGCGACGGGGCCGGGCGGTTGCGACGGGGTCGGGCAGGGTGCGACGGGGCCCAGGAGGGGCGCTACAGGGCCCAGGGAGGGCGCGACGGGGCCCAGGAGGGGCGCTACAGAGCCCAGGAGGGGCGCGACGGGGCCTGGGAGGGGCGCGACGGGGCCCGGGAGGGGCGCGACAGAGCCCAGGAGGGGCGCTACGGGGCCTGGGAGGAGCGCGACGGGGCCCAGGAGGGGCGCTAGGGGGGCCTGGGAGGAGCGCGACGGGGCCTGGGAGGGGCCCGACGGGGCCTGGGAGGGGCGTTACAGGGCCCAGGAGGGGCGCTACGAAGCCCAGGAGGGGCGCGACGAGGCCCAGGAGGGGCGCTACGGGGCCCAGGAGGGGCGCGACGGGGCGCTACGGGGCCTGGGAGGAGCGCGACGGGGCCCAGGAGGGGCGCTAGGGGGCCTGGGAGGAGCGCGACGGGGCCTGGGAGGGGCGCGACGGGGCCTGGGAGGGGCGTTACAGGGCCCAGGAGGGGCGCTACGAAGCCCAGGAGGGGCGCGACGAGGCCCAGGAGGGGCGCTACGGGGCCCAGGAGGGGCGCGACGGGGCGCTACGGGGCCTGGGAGGAGCGCGACGGGGCCCAGGAGGGGCGCTAGGGGGCCTGGGAGGAGCGCGACGGGGCCTGGAAGGGGCGCGACGGGGCCTGGGAGGGGCGTTACAGGGCCCAGGAGGGGCGCTACGAAGCCCAGGAGGGGCGCGACGAGGCCCAGGAGGGGCGCTACGGGGCCCAGGAGGGGCGCAACGGGGCGCTATGGGGCCTGGGAGGAGCGCGACGGGGCCCAGGAGGGGCGCTAGGGGGCATGAGCGGAAGCGGTAGGTGGGGGGGATCCTACCTACGCGTGATACCATATTAGAATTGGAATTGAATAATGGTAAAGTGAGAGTACACACAAATATACCTAAGTGTTGTACCCTCTAAGAGGCAACCCTATACAGTCTATACAAACATGACAAATACAGATGTTTGACACATTGATGGTGATGTCAATTGATGGTGATGTCAATTGATGGTGATGTCCATTGATGGTGATGTCAATTGATGGTGATGTCCATTGATGGTGATGTCAATTGATGGTGATGTCCATTAATGGTGATGTCAATTGATGGTGATGTCCATTAATGGTGATGTCAATTGATGGTGATGTCCATTGATGGTGATGTCAATTGATGGTGATGTCAATTTGAAAAGAAGCAATTTTGGTTGTGATGGCAATTTACAACAAAGCACGATGCCACTGCCAGCAAGCTGATGCCTGAGAGCATGCTGATGCCTGGGAGCATGCTGATGCCTGAGCGCAAGCTGATCCCTGGGAGCATGCTGATGCCGGGGAGCATGCTGATGCCTGGGAGCATGCTGATGCCTGGGAGCATGCTGATGCCTGGGAGCATGCTGATGCATGAGAGCAAGCGGATGCCTGAGCGCAAGCTGATGCCTGGGAGCATGCTGATGCCTGGGAGCATGCTGATGCCTGGGAGCACGCTGATGCCTGGGAGCACGCTGATGCCTGGGAGCATGCTGATGCCTGGGAGCATGCTGATGCCTGGGAGCATGCTGATGCCTGGGAGCATGCTGATGCCCGGGAGCATGCTGATGCCTGGGAGCATGCTGATGCCTGGGAGCATGCTGATGCCTGGGAGCAAGCTGATGCCTGGGAGCATGCTGATGCCTGGGACCATGCTGATGCCTGGGAGCATGCTGATGCCCGGGAGCATGCTGATGCCTGGGAGCATGCTGATGCCTGGGAGCATGCTGATGCCTGGGAGCATGCTGATGCCTGAGCGCATGCTGATGCCTGAGCGCATGCTGATGCCTGAGCACATGCTGATGCCATGACATTGACGACTATGATGGTGGCAATGCTGCCATATTCACCATGCCTTTGATGCAGCTAGTGTTACCATGCTGATCCATGAGACCATGCTGATCCATGAGACCATGCTGATGCCATGTTATTAGCGGCTATGATGGGGGCAGTGCTGTGGAGTCCGCCATGCCTGGCCAATGCTATCAGTGCCATCTTGGTGATGCCTTGACCCTGACAGTGCCCCTCATGGCAATGATCTCATCCCCATGGGCGTTGGGAAAAAGACAAGATTGAAGTGCCTTCATGTTTGCGATGCGGGGGACGGTTGCAAGCAATGCCATCACAATGTGGACAATGTGGATGAAACCTGTTCAGTTGACCAAGGGCGTTGACTGGATGGGTTGGTTGGTAGCCCCCATCTCTGGCCACCGGGTGTCAAACGCCTCGCAAAAGCTTCAGCGTGGCTCGTGTTCGCACTCAACAAATCCCCTGCTCTCTGAAAATGCGCCAGCTGGCAGCAATGGTGAGGCTCATGGTTGAACTGAGGCCACTGCGAGATGTTGATGCTGGTGCTGATGCCGATGAGGATGCTGGATGGTGGTTTGAGCTGATGCCAATGGTCGGTTGATGGTGATGGTGCCAATGGCGGACGACCCATGCTGATGGTGTTGTGGCGGTTAATTATGATGGATGGGATGGTAAGCTACTGCTATGCCATGGCATGCCATGTAGTTTAACAGCCATGTGACCAAAACGTCAAACACATGGCATATGCATCCATAACATAGAACCCCTCCATGCCGCATGCTACCATCCTAATGCCAATGGTGGTCAACCCATGCTGATGGTGACAATTTCTCAGGATGTTGGATGGCAAGCTACTGCAATGCCATGGCATGCCATGTAGCTCAACAGCCATGTGACCAAAACGTCAAGACATATGCATTGTCAACATAAAACCCTGTATGGTCTATGCATGCCATATGCGTGCCCTCTCGATGCCAAAACATGTGCATCCATACTCCCTTCATGCTCCCTTCATGCTCCCTTCATGCTCCCTCCATGCTCCCTCCATGCTCCCTCCATGCTCCCTCCATGCTCCCTCCATGCTCCCTCCATGCTACCTCCATGCTCCCTTAACAAAAACCCCTTCCAGCCCACTTACCATCCATGCGCATGCAATCTGCAGCCGGCTGCCCGTGAGAAATCCAATATATGCATGCCCTCTCGATGGGGCTCATTTAAGGCAGCTCAGAAAATAGCCTCCATGCTCCATGCTCCATCAACAGAAACCACCCACAGAATCACCCATCTCAACACACCGGCACTCCTCCCAACACACCGTCACCCATCTCAACACACCGCCACTCCTCCCAACATACCGTCACTCCTCCCAACACACCGTCACTCCTCCCAACACACCGCTGCCCATCCCATACCAGCAGCAACTCGCAACACTAGTTCCCTACAGAAATGCCAGCATCCTGCCACAGCGACTTCTAAGTTGACTAGAAGGGCTTCGGCCCCTCGCTTCTGCTCCCTGGCTTCAGCTTCTCGCTGCTACTGTAACTACCCCCCCCCCCCCCCCCCCCCTCTCTCCCCCTCCCACCAACCCCCATAGCAACTGGCTTGGGCAAAACACTCTCCAGTAACTAGCCTACCCTACCCGTCTTCCCCTCTGCTAAACCAACTCGCTTCGGAACAGCACCTTAAGTCTATTTTTGAGGCGCCTCAAAAACCAACTCGCTTCGGAACAGCACCTTAAGTCAACCCAGCACCTGCTGCTGCTGCAGCAGCCGCCTCCGTCCCTATTGCCCCTGCTGCTGCTCCTGATGCCCCCCTGCTCCCCCTGCATTCGTGCCTGCTGGTGGGGACTCCACAGGCCATATCTCTCCTCCCAAGGCTCCCCCAAAGCCCTGCCGCCCCCTTGACGCCTATAGAGACGACTAAGTCAACCCAGCAGATGCCGCCAACGCCGTTGCAGCAGCCGCCTCCACTCCTATTGCTGCTCCTGATGCTCCCCCTGCTCCTCCTGTGTCTGTGCCCGCTGGTGTGGGCTCCACCAACCCCATCTCTCCTCCCACGCCTCAACCAAAGCCATGCCCCCTGAATCCATTATGCAGACTAAGTCAACCCAGCAGATACCGCAAACGCCGCTGCAGCAGCCGCCTCCGTCCCTGTCGCCCCACAGACCCTCCCACGACTCCCACGAATCCCGCGACTCCCGCGACTCCCGCGACTCCCAGCCTCCCAGCCTCCCAGCCTCCCAGCCTCCCATGCCTCCCATGCCTCTCCCAAAGCCAAGCTCCTTGCCCTTTGACGCCCATAAAGCAAACTAAGCCAACCCTGCAGATGCCGCCAGGGCCGCTGCAGCAGCCGCCTCCGCCCCTATTGCTCCTGACACTCCTCCTGCTGCTCCCCCTGCTGCCCCCCCATCCGTGCCTGCTGGGGGGGGCTCCAACGGCCCTATCTCCCCTCCCACGTGTCCCACGTGTCCTGCGCCTCCCACGCCTCCCACTCCTCCCATGCCGCCCCCGAAACCGGGCCCCTTGACGCCCAGGGGGTTCTTGGAGAACTGGATGCGGATGGGCCCTCTGTCTGACGATGCTAGGGAGGTCCCTTGCAGTGCTGCGTGCACTGCTGATGCCGATGCTATGTCCTGTGGGAGGGAAAGGGAGGGAAGGGCGGAAAAAGGGAGAGAAGGGAGGGCAGGAGTGAGGAGGCTGGAGACGTCAGTGGGTTCTTGGAAAGCTGGATGCGGATGGGCCCTCTGTCTGGCGTAACGAGGTGCCTTGCAGTGCTGCGTGCACTGCTGACGCTGATGCTGTGTCCAGGAAGGGGAAAAGGATAATAGGGGGGGGGGGGGGAGCAGCCCGCATTGCGATTGCGATTTAAATCGCATCGCACAGGGGCGCGATGAAAAAAAAAAAAACGATGCGATTTAATATCGCATCGCGCGATTTATTTTTTAAAAAAATATAAAAAAAATAAAAACGCACATCGCATTTTCTGCACGATGGTTATTTAAACCGCACGCGATGTTTATTTAAATCGCATCGCATTTTACTTAAATTAAAAAACACCTCAGAATTCCGGAAAAAAACAACACTGATGGAATTTCGGCCACAGGTAGATCGCGCGCGATTTAAAAAAATATCGCAAATCACAATTTAATCGCGATTTTCAGCGCGATTAAAACGCGATTTAAATTAAATCGCGCGATAATTAAATCATTGCAACACGCGATTTTTTATTATTATTATTATTTTTTTACCCAAAAAAAATCGCCATCGCAAAAACGCGATTAAACACGATGCGATGCGATTTAATCTGCCCAGGTCTAGGAGGGGGTGGGGGGGAGCAAACAGGGGGAATGAAGGGGTTCTTGGAGAACTGGATGCGGACGGGGCCTCTGTCTGACGATGCGAGAGGGGTGCCTTGCAGTGCTGCATGCACTGCTGACACTGATGCTATGCCCCACACAGGACGCTGACGCTACGTCCTGTGGGAGAAAGGAGGGAGGGCAGCAGGGAGCGGGGTTAATGGTGCCAGGGCGTTCTTGGAGAACTGGATGCGGACGGGGCCCCTGTTTGACGAGGCGAGAGGGGTTCCTTGCAGTGCCGCTTGCACTGCTGATGCTGACGCTATGCCCCACGCATGAAAGGAGGTGCCTTGCAGTGCTGCGTGCACTGACGCTGACGTTGCGCTGCACTGCACTGCTGACGCTGACGCTGGAGAGGAGGAAGACGAGTGAAGAGGGCTGTGGGAAGACGGGCAGTGGGAAGAGTGAAGGGGGCTGGGAGAGCGAGGGCTTTAACTGAGGAACCGGATCTGCATAGGCGCATTGCACAAAGAGGTACAAAGAGGCACAAAGAGCAACAAAGAGGTACAAAGAGGTACAAAGAGCAACAAAGAGCAACAAAGAGCGTCGCACTGTGCATTGTCTGCAGGGAGTCTCACCGAGTATTGCACGAAGCAGCAAGTGTTGGTGACGCCTTGCCTCGTCAGCTTCATTTGTGTGTAGCCCGGTTGCCTGGGACAGACAGGGTTCAAATGTCCGGTGGTATGAAAGCAGGGCGCACACATGAAAGCAGGGCGGCGGTGTTGTAGGCTTTTTTGAGACGTCGTTGGCTTCTTGAGACGTCGCTGGCTTTTAGAGACGCCTCAAAGGTGAAAAACAGGCTGTAGTGGCCTAGGAACTTTTGGGTTGGGGGGGACTCAACAGTCACCTTCTCGCGACAAGGTAGGGCACAAGCACGAAGCAGGGCAGTGAAAAACATATGTTTTGAGACATCTCGAAACAAATCTTTTATCACCTGGCGACAAGGCAGCGCACAAGCATGAAGCAGGGCCGGCATGAAGAAGAGAATAGTACTAGTAGGTCAAATCAAATCAGTGGAGAACAGCGGAGAAAGAAGAGGAAACGGAGGGAAGGGAAGGGGTAGGGAAGGGGGAAAGGGGAGGACGGGAGGAGGAGGGGGGGAGGGTGGAAGAACAGAGAGAGGGGTTACTCACGTGCCAAAGACACTGAGGATCTCAGTTTCGTTGACAAACGGGCTGAGATTGCCAATGTAGAGCGTGTTGCAGGGCGGATTGTCCTTATACACCTGAATGGGGAGGCGCATAAGGGGTACAGAAGTGGGCTGAGATTGCCAATGTAGAGCGTGTTGCAGGGCGGGTTGTCCTTATACACCTGAATGGGGAGGCGCATAAGGGGTACAGAAGTGGGCTGAGATTGCCAATGTAGAGCGTGTTGCAGGGCGGGTTGTCCTTATACACCTGAATGGGGAGGCGCATAAGGGGTACAGAAGTGGGCTGAGATTGCCAATGTAGAGCGTGTTGCAGGGCGGGTTGTCTTTGTACACCTGAACGGCGAACAGGGAACATGATATGAGCGGCGAACAGGGAACTAGTTTTGAGGCGCCTCAAAACTGAACGGCGAACAGGGAACATGACATGACAATGGGGATGCGCTTAGAGGGTACAAAACGGGCTGAGATTACCGATGTATCGTGCGTTGCACAGCAAATTGCCCTTGTGCACTTGAATGACAGATAAAGACGGAAAGCACAAAAGTTACATGCTGGCTGCCAACCTCTGTCAATATAAATAACGTGTTGCACGGCGTTTTGTAAGGCGTTTCGCACGGCGTGTTGCATGGTGTGTTGTGTTGCACGGTGTGTCGCTACAGGCTCATTGGCGCATTGCCCTTGGGTACCTGCGCTGCACCTGCGGCACTTCCGTCCCTACCCCCTTCCCCCCCACTACTCCCCTGCCTTCCTGCCTCACCACCCCAACAGCGACCCACCTTGGAGGGTGTGTGCGACGGTGCTACAGTGCGCGGAACAATGGGAGTGCCGCCCACAGTCGCAGAGAAAGGGGCGGCTGCATCCTGCCTCACAACCCCCAACCCAACAGCAACTAACCTTGGAGGGTGTGTACGACGGTGCTACAGTGCGCGGAACAACAGGCGTGGTTCCCACGGTTGCAGCAGCGAAGGCGGCTGCTGCTGCTGCGCCGTAGGGGTCGTAGCTCGCCGCTCCGGGAACAACGTAGCTGCATGGAGGGGAGGGGAGGGGAGGGGAGGGACGGGGGGGAGGGGTGAGTGAGAGAGTGAGGTGTAGCATAGGGGTCGTAGCTCGCCGCTCCGGGAACAACGTAGCTGCATGGACGGGCGCGGAGGGAGGGAAGGAGAGGGAGGGGAGGGAGGGGAGGGAGGGGAGGGAGGGGAGGGAGGGGAGGGAGGGGAGGGAGGGGAGGGAAGGGGGGGAGTTGGTAACTTGGTGTGGCAGGGATCATAAGTGTACCTTGGGAGTTGCTCCTCACATTGAAACCACGGAGCTGCATGGACGAGAACAGAGGGGGAGGCGAGAGGAGAGGAAGGGAAGGGAGGTGAGGGAGCGAGACCAATGGACCCATATTTTAGAAGGGATCGAGACCAATGGACCCATATTTTAGAAGGGATCGAGACCAATGGACCCAAAATACGAGGGGGGGGCGGGAGGAGAGGAAGGAAAGGGAGGTGAGGGAGGGGGAAGCAGAGTGCGGCGTGTTGTAGGGGTCAAAGGGGGCCGCTCCGGGAACGACGTGGCCGCATAAGGTGGGGGAGGGAAGAGGATTTCCCGGGTGGGGGAATGGGTTGGCATATTACAAAGACAGAAGAATACGCGGCAGAATCAACGTTACTATGATCCCCATGCCGGGGATCTCAACATTAGGAGGGATTTTCAAAAGTGACCGCTCTGGGAACAACGTGGCCGCATAAGGTGGGGGAGGGAAGAGGATTTCACGGGTGGGGTTCAACCACAACAACGTAAAAATGTCAGATACTGCTAGAAACGTACGAGGTCAAGGCGTCGGCAACACGAAGCCTCTTGGCAGGATCCTCCGCACCTGCGAAATAGCAAAGTACGGGATTCGGGGAAAGTACGGGCTTCTACGAAAGTACGGGCTTCTACGAAAGTACGGGCTTCTACGAAAGTACGGGCTTCTACGAAAGTACGGGCTTCTACGAAAGTACGGGCTTCTACGAAAGTACGGGCTTCTAAGAAAGTACGGGCTTCTAAGAAAGTACGGGCCTCTAAGACAACCGAGATCAGAACTTGGGTGTTCTGTTGAGAGTTCTAGAAAACCAACTCAGCTCAAAAGGCAGGATCCTCAGCTCCTAAGGAATGCTGGGAACAGGGTTTGCGATGCGAGGGAAGTGAGGCGAACGAAATTAGTCGATGGGCACGACAGGAAAGGGCAGAATCAGACAACGGCTCTGGGATCCGGCCAACACACCCCGCTAAACATCTGTACCTTTCTTCCTGAAGAGGTTCTTCTTCGCCATTTCCGCTCGCAGAACAGCGTTCGATTCGACATCGAACAGCAACCCCTGTACGTCACAGGGGAAAGCGGAAAGCACATGGCCATGAACTTGTCTTGCAAGGTCTCCCGGGAAGCGAGAGCCATCGGCCATGGATGGTGTCAGGAAAGACGCAGTCTGAGCGGCCCTCGGATCAGACCAGATCAAATCGGATCAGATCGAATCAAATCTGATAAAGTCAGACAGTGTCGGGACTCGGGAGACGAATCGGCAACGATGCGACCCGATATGATCCGATATATTCCCCAGATGACTTTTGAGGCGCCTCAAAAGACGATGCGACCCGATATGATCCGATATGATCCGATATGATCCGATATGATCCGATACATTCCCCAGATGCCAGATCGGACCGCACCTGCAAGGCGTCGCGCGCGGCGAACGCCATGGCTGACGTGGAGAAGAGCGCGAAGCCCATTGGCTGGTCGCCCTTGTACGACAGCTGGCACGACTCGTAGCCCGGCCACCAGCGCAGCAGGTTCTGCAGTTCGCGCTCCTTGGTGTCGGGCGGAAAACCCGTTATAAAGATTGTTCGAACCTGGACACAAGAAATGAGCGAGTAAGGTGGGAATAAGAAATAGACCAAGAGAAGGTTCTGCAGGTCGCGCTCCTTGGAGTCGTTCGGACCTAAATCAAATCAAATCATCAAAACAGGCAGCACGAACGGTTGAATGAAAAAGAGGCGAGAGATACCCGAGACTTCAGAACTAGTAGAGAGGCATTGGAGAATACTGGAAAGGAGACCGAGATCGCAAGTTGACGAAGACGAACGGTGTAGACGAGAGAGCCAGTGCAGGCGCTCAGCGAATCGTCTCGTGACAATAAGAATAGCATTTTAAAACAACCGAATGAATCGACTGCAAGAACAGCGGCTTACCACGTCTTCGCCTTCCACGGCACCAGTCGGCCATCCTGCGAGTGACGTCATATCGCTGCGTTTATCCGCGATATAGCACTGACTGCCGAGGATCAACAAATAGACGGTTCAGATCTGACGACAATAGGTCGGCGACGGGACCGGGCGAAATCAGCACTACGAGAGACAAGAAACGAATGTGGCGCGCTTTGATTGACACCAGTCAAAGAGGGAACGAGTTCTGGAGGCGCTTGGTCTGCACTAGCGGAGAGGAGAATAACTCAGGTCTGACGAAGAAAAAGTCAGGTCGGCATAAAATAAGACAGTCTAGTCTGGGGGAGGGGAGAGGGGCGAAAAAGGATTTCTAGGGTTTCGTGGTTGAGTTGAAAGTGGGAGTGGGGGGAAGGGGCGTGACAATGTCGAAGTCTCTACGGCAATTTCAAAGTAATTGAGTTCTCGTTACAAGCACAGTTTCCACTGTACCGTTTACTGAATATAACTGTACGCATCACAGAACAAACCACACATCGTTCCCTGGGCGGTTTTCATAACGCGTACACGCTTCTCCTGCATTCTACCTCACCCCACTGCTTGACCAACCAGTAGCCAGCCACCTTGCCTTACCTCCTACGGGATCCAGTCCCAGTCTTTTCTAAAAAGACTAGGCTCACCTATACAGTCACCTTTCCTTACCGTCACCTCGTCGTCGTCGACTGTCCTATCTCCCGCCCACGCTGTTCGCGTCGAGATCCACGTCACCTTTCGAGGTCGCCAGTGCCGTGCACGTCGCGTTCTAGCCTTCCGCGTCGCGGCGACATGGATCTCGATCTGGAGGGCGTTCCCGAGGAGGATAAGGTCCGCCTCACGCAGATGATCGAAAACGCGCAGCGACGCGACGGGTGAGCCGACGTAGTCTGTTGATACACATGATCCGGGGTGGATCTACGGTACGGTTCAACGTCGGCATGGTTCCGTACGGTACTGTACGGTACGGATCGGATCCGTGTCACGGGCACGGTCCATTTCGCCAGATAATGGGGTCGGGATGTAGTTGCATGCTCCGTGCGCATAACGTACGCGCTATTGAGTCGAGGGAAGGGGAGGGGGCATACCCTGTTGGCTGATCATCGAAACCCGCAGAGCTCTCCTTTCATCTTCCGAGCGCTGAATACTCAAGAACCCTTCCAGGAACTTCAGAAGAACGAGCTCGTCTCGGGAGCCGTTTAAGTTGCCGTTCACGGCCGGCATGCCGTCTAAGATCCTATACCCCAGCCGTCTAGGAGTGCCGGACTCCGGATACGATTCCCTGGCCTCGTGTCGGAGGGAAGGGTGCGGTAGAGGTGTAGTTTTGAGACTTCTCAATACCACACTCCTATCACTCGGACTCCCTGGCCTCGTGTCGGAGGAAAGGGTGCGGGAGGCTTGGTTGGAGGAGGGGAGGAAGGGAGGGAAGAGGGGCGAGGAAAGGAGGGAGAGGGGGAGGGGCCAGGGGAGGGAGGGAAGGGGAGAGAGTGGCTGAGTGTGGGGGAGAGGGAATGGAGAGGGGAAGAAGAGTGTGAGGTACTGGTGGTGAATAGAGGGAAGAGAGGGAGGAGAGGGAGGAGAGGGAGGAGAGGGAGGAGAGGGAGGAGAGGGAGGAGAGGGAGGAGAGGGAGGAGAGGGAGGAGAGGGAGGAGAGGGAGGAGAGGGAGGAGAGGGAGGAGAGGGAAGAGAGGGAGGAGAGGGAGGAGAGGGCACTGGTGGGATTGAGAAACGCAATAGGAGGTATATGAGCTGAGTCCTCTGAGCGGAGCCTTATGAGCGGAGCCTTTTGAGCAGAGTCTAAAAGCAAAGAGGCTTTCTGGCTGCACGACCCTAGGGCAAATGTTCTTTCCATACTTCTCGTATAATAGGCCATCTTTAAGCTTTACCTGTTCCTAACACATCTCTCCGTTCCTTCAGCTTGCTACATAGCTCACTTTTACACATGTTGGATATAGTTCACTTTTTGCTAACCTTGTTTTCCCCGTTTTACTCCATCCAATCCTCATAACTGGGCTTGCTGGCTTAAAAACACTGGATTTACTCATTTTCCCCTTCAAGGATCATACACTTGATTTAACCTCCCCTGTTTCGACTCTCCCTCCTCCCCTGGCATGTACGATGCGTTAGTGGAGCGGTTCTTCAGCGACTGTACGGGCAAATTCAAGCAGTGTACACTTGTATGAACATCCCCTGTTCCGCACCTCCCCCCTCCCCTTTTTCTCCTCTTCCCATTCTAGAGCTCGCATGTACAACTCGCTGGTGGAGCGGTGCTTTAAGGATTGTGTGGATAATTTCAGGAGGAAAACTCTTGATAAGACGGAAGAGCAATGTGTGAAGCGGTGTGCCGAAAAGTTCCTCAACCATTTTGCCCGAGTGGGCATGCGCTTTGCTGAGCTCCAATCAGGAGCCTCCAGTGAATAACTGCTATGCAAATGAATAACATTGTGGAGTGTTTAGCTTCAATGTAGGCCGATCCGCAACCTTGTGATATCCTGAGCTGTAATCAGGAGCCTCTAGTGAATAATATACCCGTTCTCTCTTACCGTTTGGAACATGTTGGAGCATCACCAGTTGTGACTTCAACATCGTATTTCCTTAATATGCCACTACTATTATGTGTGTCACGATTGTTTTTATGAGCTGATTATATGCACTGTGCTGTTCGTGAAACTGTACCGAATTACGGGGAGCACTACGCCGGTTCATCTTCGTGGCGTTTCGACTTCCAGCCTAAAGCCCAAGTAACCGTTTATGCTGTGAGCAGCATCCTAAGTTCCTATCCCTAACGAACTTACTCGCCGTGCTCCTCCTCACCCTTCCGCCCTCAGTCCGCGCGCCGTGTTAGCGGCGAATCGCTTCACTAGTGGAAGCAACCGCATTTCCAATGGAGAGGCGAGTAGCATTCATCGCTCTTGCCTGCTTGTTACATCTGTGGGGGCTGGGCTGGCTGGGACTCTTAGAAACCCCACTCATTTGCAAGCAGCGGCTCTCTAAAGTTTTCCAAACCGCAGTTTCTCATTGCCGCGGCGCTCGCGCGTTTCGTCTCCCTCTTCCTTTACCTCCTCCCATGATCCAGGAGTAATTATCATCCATCCACCCTTCCCATTCTGCGTGCTGTGTCACCTGATTGGCTCTTGCCTTCCCCTCCCCCTCCCCCTCCCCCTCCCCCCCCCCCTCCCCCCCCGTCCACCACACACCCACCCACCGACACGAATCGCAAATCGTGAATCGCGAGCGGCACCAGGAATGCCGTACGACAGGAGCCTTGCGTAGCTTGCGGCGGAAACCCAAAGCGAGTCTCTTGCGAGACCCACCCACCCACCCGAGATTCTGTACAGTAGTATTGAGACGACGCAGAAGCCATCGTGTTGCTACCACTGCTCTCAGCAGTGCTCGACAGTGCTTGTAGCGGAACAGACGGCGTTTGGGCTCTTACTACGGGCGTTTGGGCTTGCACGGGCGACCTTACCGCTACCAGCTCTGACCGGCAATCCCCTCGTCTCCCACCGAAATCGCCTCGTCTCCTCTTCCCCTCGCCTCGTCTCCTCTTCCCCTCGCCTCGCCTCGCCTCCCCTCGCCTCGCCTCGCCTCGCCTCGCCTCGCCTCGCCTCGCCTCGCCTCGTCTCCTGTTCCCCCAGTCGCTCGAGATCTCTAGTCCCAGCTACTATTATGCAGGCGCTTCGGAATCGCTAGTATTTCTCCCGGGGCTTCGAGATCTCCAGTATATGTAACAATAGATCGCTCCTTTGCGGAACTGATCTAACCAGTGGTGCCCTAGATCGCTCGGTGCTTACTTCGCACCAAGTAAGCAATCAACAATTTCTCCAACCGACGAAAGGCTCTTACGTCCCTTTCCCCTTTCGCCTGCTAGCTTGTGACCGTTTCAACCATGGCGGCGCCGTTACGTGTCATCTCTGCCGTTGCGTTGCTCTGCCTGGTTACGGCTCAGCTGGCCGCTGCAGGTGCGGCCATCCAAAGTCCTATCCTGCAGAATCGTCCTGCAGAATCGTCCTGCAGAATCGTCCTGCAGAATCGTCTTCTGCGCATGTGTCTTACCTATCCTCTCCTTGAACACTGCACGTTGCGCCTTTAGTTGACCCTTGAGTCGACTCAAAGTCACCTTGAACAGTCGCCAAGTTGACTCTTGAACAGTTCACGTTACGCCTTGAGTTCATTTTCTCCAGCTCCTGATATAAGGCTTTCTCCAGCTCCTGATATAAGGTTTGTTTTGAGACGGCTCAAAACCAACCTTATATCACGTTACGCCTTGAGTTAATTTTCTCCAGCTCCTGTCTCCCATCTGCAATCATTTGCTTTCCTTCCCCCATCAATCCCCCATCTCCTTGCAGTCACCCTCTCTATAATCCCCTCCCCAACCAACGAATCTCGAACTTGGTTTCCCGTCCCTTCCGCATTACAGATTGCCCGGTTGGGTCTGGATTCTACGGACCGGATTGCACCGCATGCCCTGGTAAGGATGTCGTAATATGGTGATGACAGCGCGGCCACCCGTCTCTCTTCCTTTCAACTTTTCTTATGTTCTTTCTTCCTATCCTTCCTAAGAAGCTCGTCCTTTATCTCCTCTTGATTCATGCCCTATCCATTCTGTGTTATTCAAATTTCCGCAGTGAGCCATTTTGGGTACTTTGAGTCGACTCAAAAGTAATTCGGGCACTTTCCTGGTGTTTTCTTCAGTTGACTCAGGCGTTTTTTCCCCTGCTCCTTTCCCCCCGATCGAGTTTTAGTGCCTCAAAATCTCGGCACGTGCCGGGATGGGCCTGATGGCAACAGCACGGATTTCTGACAGTCTGCTCCTCCCCTGATGGGCGGAGCGGAGGAGAGGCCTGCACGGGATTTCCGCACGGGATGATGGGCCTGATGGCAACAACTCAGAGTCTTTCTCCCCCGCTCCTCCCCTCCCCTCTGCTCCTCCCCCCCCGATCAAATCCCAGTGTGTCAGAATCTCGGCACGTGCCGGGATGGACCTGGTGGCAACGGCACCTGCGCCTGTCCCGCCACCACCACGGGCACTCTCTGTGAACAGTGCGCGCCCGGTTATGACCTGGCCAGCAAGTGCACCACTAGTAAGGCCCTGCTTCCCCGTGACCTGCTGTGTCTGATTCACCTGTGTGCGTGAGATTCACCTGTTCCAATCAAGACCCCGGTCACTTTTGAGTCGACTTTTGACTTTTGAGTCGACTCAAAAGTCATCATGACCCCGCCAGCAATTTGCACCCGGCAAACTACGCTCTGCGCTGCTTCCGCTTCTCGCTCGTTCATCTATTGGCTCACTGTGCATACTCTTTGACCTTGGTCGCGTGGTTTGCACGCTTTCTTCCCATCTTTGTTCTCCCTATGCTGTGCACTCCCCTCCTTTCTCTTGATTCGACTCAAAAGTCATCTTTGTTCGCCCTATGCTGTGCACTCCCCTCCTTTCTCTTAGCTTACTGTGCATACTCTCTGACCTCTCAACTCTCTCTTTCTTTCCATCAATTGTGTCCACCCTATGTTGCATGCAATGATGTTGTACAATTGTACTCCCCTCTTTCTCAACGAATCATGTTTCAGAATGCCCGGTTGGGTCTGGATTCTACGGACCGGATTGCACCGCATGCCCTGGTAAGGATGGGTGTCATGTCAGGGTAACAGCATGGCATGGTGGCATGACATGGTGACGGCACCGCATGCCCTGGTAAGCATGTGTGTCATGTCAGGGTAACAGCATGGCATGGTAAAGGCATTGTGACCAACCCCTCTCTCGTCCTCTCCCTTGTTTCTTCCCATTTTTCCCTCGGAATCACTTTCTGCGCCTCTCCTCTTGATTCACATGCACCCCTATCACTCCATCCCATCTGGATGTATCTCTTTCTACTCTGTCTGGATATTCCCGTCCATCCCATGTGGACTCACTCACGACCATCCCTTGCTCCTGAATTTCCCTAAATATATTCTCCTTATCGAATCCTCCTCCTAGGTACCTCCTAGGACGTGTCCGAATACGGCGACAGGTCCCTCCTCAGGTGAATCTTGCTTTTTTCCCCTCCCTTTCCCTCTGCTCCTTCTCCCCGGATCAAACCCCAGTGTGTCAGAATCTCGGCAAGTGCCAGGATGGCCCTGATGGCAACGGCACGTGCGCGTGTCTTGCCACCACCACGGGCACTCTCTGTGAGCTCTGCGCTCCCAACTACGACCCCGACACCCAGTGCACCAGCAGTAAGGCCCTGCCAATAACCTGGTGATCATCCCTACGCCTCTTGAATCTGTTTGTTATGCTGCTGCTTCATCCGTGTGTCCCACCACCACGAGCACTCTCTGCGAATCGTGCGCTCCCAACTACGACCCCGATACCCAGTGCACCTCCACCTCCTGTAAGGCCCTGCCAACAACCTGGCAGCATGGCTGCGGACGACAGTGCCTTTGCCGAGTGGTGCAAGTTCTGGCCCAACGGGGACTCCTGCTATCCCCCCTCTGTCTAAAAACCCCTTTTCACCTCCTCTTCCCCCCCCCCCTTCCCCCCCTCCAGTCCTTGACGCGCGTGCGTCATACGTGAGCCAGACGGCTGCAGAGGACAGTGCTTTTGCCAGTTGGTGCAAGCTTCGGCGCAATGGGGACTCATGCTACTCTTTGTCTCTTTCCCTTTCGCTTTCGCCCTTCCTTTCTGCTACCCTTTACACTCCAGTCCTTGACGCATGTGCGTCATACGTGAGTGAGACGGCTGCTGAGGACAGCTCCTTTGCCAAGTGGTGCAAGATGCGGCCCAATGGGGACTGCATTACTGATTTCGACGTTGTGCCGACCCGCTCCACTTGCGGGTGCCAGACGGGGTATACTTTTAACGAAGCCACCCAGACATGTGATGGTGAGTTGCGTTGATTGTGCTCATAGACGTTTCTTCTTTTGTGGCATTTATTGATGAGCGATGTGCATGAAGGATTTGGCAATGTATCGTGTAACTAACTCGTGCGTTCCATTCTTGTTGCAGATGTTAATGAGTGCAAATCAAGGCCGTGTGTGGACGTGGCGTACTCAGTCTGCACCAATTTGGTGGGAACATACAACTGCACGTGCAAGAGAGGGTACGAGGCTACAGTTATTGATCCACTGAACATCGTTCGCACGTGTGCGAAGCCCATTCCGCCCACAACGGTTAAGGTTGTGTTCCCTATGCCGTGATCAATCTGGACATGTACCGCTTAGAAGGATCGTATGGAAATAAAGCAGTGGTGAAGTGGGATACTCTTAGTGTAAATGTATTATGCAATTTATTGTTAATAATTATCTGGTGTAGTGTCATTTATTGTACATGATTTGAACGCGAAGCAGTTGACGTAGGAATGATGAGAGTCCAGATGGAGCATCTGACGTCAGACGATGGTGGGACCACTTCAGACCAGGTCTGATGTGGACAGTGAGATGAGGCGAGTCGCGGACAACCACTTGGGGGCGGTCATGATCGACGACTCGTCGTACAGTTTGTGGCGTAGGGTCACGAGGATCTCTTTTCGTCGCACTGAATCGCGGCCTCTCGATTTTTCGCATGCCCCAATACATACGACCTTGCTCCGAGCCACAGAAAGCTCTTTAGGGCGATTGGGTGAATTCAGACGGCGGAGATCCTGTGGTGAGAAATGTGTCGGTCACCACAAGCCTGCTACCAATTTTCAGGGCTCGTCTCACGTTATACCCGTATGAAACAGAGATCACAACCTGAAAATCGAACATTGGTTTAATACGGGTATGCTCTCACAACCTTCAGGTCTGGTGGGTTTGGGGGGAGGGGAGGTGGGGTGGGGGTATTCTAGCTTTCTATGTATATTGCTGGGGGTAACCGCCCTTGTCACAAAAATCACCGCGCCCTTTCTTGCAGCATATGGCAGCAGCAGCGGGGCGGGACTGCCTGCCAGCCAACCACCTTGAGGGAGCGGGGCTCAGGGCGTGGTGTGGGCTCACTTTTCTCCCCAAACCAACTTAACCCAACCTAAATCAGCTCAACCGTCTCCAATCAGGGCCATGGCTGTGGCTGTTTCATGAAGCCCCTCCAGTCATCTTCACCTTGGCATTCGCACTCCCAACCTTTCGACAACAGCCTGGCCAGCATCCGTTCATGCACGCCCCCATGCATGCAAGCTGCAATTTCTTCCTTCCCGCCGAACCGGTGGTGCAATTTCTTTCATCATGAAGTTTGGGATTCTTGGCCTCCCACCCAAACTGGCCTGACAAGCTTCCAAGATGAGTGATCGAGTCGTTCTAAGCTTGATTGATACAAAGAGGCGCGAATAGTTTAGTTTCTTCCGCCTGTCCTTTCCTTTCTTCCAGCGCCGGACAGAGCCTCTCTCATTTCTCGCTTCTTGCCAGCGCAGCTGCAAACTCGAGATTTTCCAGAATTGGCCAGCAGCATGTCAAATAGGTCCCATAGTGTCAAATTCACGTAAACACCAAAACAGCTCAGTAATAAGTCATCCGATATCTTCTTCCGTTTCCACTCTCTTCCATCAATCCGATCAGCGCTTCACAGAAGGGCTAAACTGCAACCGATACAGCAGCGGAGCCGCCATTGTCTGACACTAAAAGCTCTCCGTAGATCAACAGCCATGGCGGACGCTGTTTCAAATTGCAAGCCGTCGCTTCTGAACCCGTGCCACCCGCAGCAGGCCCAACCGACCGGTTCCTTCTCCCCCACCACCTTCGCAGCAGCGCTCGCCGTCTGCCTCATTCTCGTCTTCACTGTCGCTACAGCCGTCTGCGTGATCCGACGGCTGAAATGGTTCGACGTCGATCTTGACAGCGGCCCGGCGGAGCGGCCACACCCGCGGGTAATCTGGGTGCGGAATCTCGACCAGAAGCCCGCGATTCCCGGGCTCGACCGCGCCACGATTCGCTCGTTCCCCGTGTTCACGTACCGCGGCTCGGATGGTTTAGGAAGCGATGCGCCTCTGGTGGAGGAAGGTCGTTCCGGTCCCGCATCTGGCGCCGAGAATCGCGCCGGTTCTCAAGCGGAAAAACACGTCGCGGTGACCGTCGACGGCGACGCGCGCGAGCCTGCGGCAGGCAAGACGAGTCTCCGCGAGAGCGCGCCGAGCCTGGGCGAGAGCGCTCCGAGTCTGCGCGACTGCGCGGTGTGCCTGGGCGAGTACGCGGCGGGCGAGCGCATCAAGGTGGTGCCGGCGTGCGCACATGGCTTCCACGCGGACTGCATCGACCTCTGGCTCGCCGCCAAAACCACCTGCCCCATCTGCCGCACAGACCTCCGCCGGCCAGCCTCCCCCGACGCCGCCGCGCCTAAGGCCGCGGAGGTAGCTGTTACAGAAAGAGGGTTAACCGGAGGGGTGGTTACAGAAGGGGTGGTTGCAGAGAGGGTGGTAACAGAAGGGGTAGCTACAGACGTGCTGCTTCAAATAACTGATGATAGGGGAAATGTGACAATGGCGGACGGAATGGCGTCCGAGGGGGTAAGAATAGGATCGTGAATCAGGAGTCAAACAGAGGAAATATGGGTAGGGGGGAATGGATCGGGATCGATGCCAGCACAGCGCCACCAGCAGTACCAGCAGCAGCAGCAGCAGCAGCAGCAGCAGCAGGAGCAGCAGGAGCAAAAGGGGCAGCTGGAGCAGTAGCAGCAGCACGAGCAGCAGGAGCAGCACCAGAAGCAGGTGCAGCACCAGTAGCAGCAGCACCACCAGTATCAGCAGCAGCAGCAGCAGGAGCAGTAGCAGCACCAGCACCAGCAGCAGGAGCACCAGCAGCAGCAGAAGCAGCAGCTGAAGCTTGAGTGGACCCACCATCACCTGCTCATTTGCCGCACTGGCCTCACCTCCAGAAATGTTGGTTGAGCCCAATTAAATGTCACCTAGGAAGATCGTTCCTGCGAGAGCGCGGGGTCGTCCTCTTTAGGAAAGAACCTGGCGAGAGGAGGAGCGTAGAGAGGGTTTGAAGAAGTGTGTAGATGTGACAGCAGGAGGAGAAGAGAAGTGCTATACCAAGGTCCGACCACTGGCAGAGTTTGGGGATTGATTATCTACGCCTGTGGGGGGGTGAACAGAAGGGGGCAGAGCCAAGGGGAGGTTGAGATACAAGTGGAAGCGGAACCAGAACAGGAAGGGCATTCAGAGCAGGGTGAAGCAGTTTTCCAGCAGGGAAGGCGTATCTTTCTATTAGGTTAGGAGGTGGTGGTTGGGAAAGAGTAAGCAGCAACTCCAAAAAATAAGACCCTAAAATAGGGTAGGCAAGAGGAGAATCTGACACGAAGGGGCATGCGTTCGGAGGGTGGCGAGCATTTTTCCTCAGATAGAGATGAGGTTGGTTGGATGACTGATATAACGGGTTTAAGCACTTCGAGAAAGCAAATACCGTTATTTGATACATACAATTTGACGCAAATGATATGTTCATAGAATGATGTGTCATCTCATGCTCCAACCAAACCAAGCTCGAGTGTAGCCCGGAATTGTAGTGTACATTGTGCAGGATGTAGTGTTCCGTTCTAAAGATTTGTAGCGTGTCAGAAACTCGTTCGCGTCGCGTCCGCCTGCCTTGAAACTGCCGCCGTCTTTTGTTTTGTTTCCAGCTCCCTTCTCGAGGCGTTGTTCCCGAGGCAGCTGAGGGCAGAAACTAGGATTCCGCTGCTCTTGCTTCCTGGCTTTCGTCTCGAGCTGGTCACCGCTCTTGGCATCCCTGCTGATGCGGATTCACTTATAGCATCGCTATGGCTTTTCTGGCGCATTCGAATTGACTGGGAGAGCCTCGATCGAAGGTTAATCGACGGAATCCACTTCGAGTAGTGCATGAATACGCGAATACTCAAGTACTCATATAGACGAATCAGGAGTCGGGATTCGTGGAGTTCGAGACTCTCTCGAAAATCCCGTCCGGAGCTTGTCAGGAAACGTCCAGTTCCTGTCGCCCCGGGAGGAGAATGGCTCAACCATGTTGCAAGCCGCGATTTCTGCTCGCCCGCTCTCTCTTCGTGCTCGTCGTCCCCACAGTCACTCCTCGTCGCGCAAATCTCGCCTGCTGCAAAGGAGGCACGACTCGTGCGAGGCATAGGAATCATAAGAATGCGAGTTCGCCTCGCTGGCATACGCTCGCTTCGCGCCACAAATTTGAAGAGCTTCCTTTTCCTCCTCATCGTCGCTCTCGCTTTTGGAAAGCGTGTCCGCCACTCGAAGGCCTGTGCGGCTAGCTGCGACGAAATTCCTTTTCCGAATCGGCATCCGTGAAAGACCGATCTGGTGTTGACGGAATCCGTCAAACCTGAACTGAAAGGCGCGAGTCACGTGACGGAGTCAGGAAAGGCTAACTTGCGCACCCATACTCCCTGACCGCCATTAGCCTGTTGACACGTGTCAGCCAGCTGTCCTTATCCATTGAGCGAGCATGGCTGTTGACGTGGCATCCATGTCAGCGGGCGAACTGGAGGCCGTGTGGCTGAGGCGAGCGGGCATGAGGAGCGACCTGACTGTGACTATACCGGGAGTGACTGTATCCGGAGTGTCTTTCAACGTTCACAAGTACCCTCTATACGCACGCACGTGAGTGTTTCAACCCCATCTGGTAGAATTGTTTTGTCCAAACTTGTCAGCTTCTACCGTTACTGTTTTAAATTCATGTGATATAAGGTTGGTTTTAAATTCATGTGATATAAGGTTGGTTTTAAAGTCATGGGTATCGTCCCCCTTTCCCTCTAGCCCTGCAGTCTTTTGAGTCGGCTCAAAAGGTATCTTCCTCCTTTTCCTCGTGCCCTGCAGTCACTAGATGTGTGTTTGTAAGGCGCCTCAAAAATAGACTCCTCACAGATGTGTGTTTGTGCTGAAGCGAATTCATCTACTCTCATCGCCTTCTCTGCTTCCCTCGAGTCCATCATCCCACCATCCCACCATCCCACCATCCCACCTCCCCTCGAGCCCCTTCCAAGTCCCCTCAACTTCCTCCTCGTCAACCTCCTCCTCTCCCTGCCCCTCATCCCTCTTCCACCAGTGACTTTTTCCAGGAATCGTCTTCGGAGGATCCGGATTCAGGCCGCAACGTCATTGACCTCTCGGGCTTGCCGGGAAGCGAGAGGTCGTTCAAGCAGGTGAGATGGATGGGGGCAGGGAGCACGGGTAACGGATTTTTGAGTCGAGAAGGGATGAAAGATGCCCACAGGTTTTTTGAGGCGCCTCAAAAGGTGTCCTTACTTATCCGGATTCAGGCCGCGTCGTAATTGACCTCTCGGGCTTGCCGGGAGGCGAACGAGCATTCAAGCAATGGGGTGAGATGGGGGTTGGGAGCACGGGTAAGGAGGAGGGGGGGGGGGGAAGCGTACAGCTCAAGAGTGGATGGAGAGAAATGGGGGGAAAGGAAAAGAAAAAGGAAAGAAAAAAGAAGGGATGGGAAGGGATGGGAAGGGATGGGGAGGGATGGGAAGGGATGGGAAGGGATGGGAAGGGATGGGAAGGGATGGGAAGGGATGGGAAGGGATGGGAAGGGATGGGAAGGGATGGGGAAGAGAAAGGGGTCCGGAGTCGGGACTGGAAGGGATGGGGGTAGGGAAGGGATGGGGGTAGGGAAGGGATGGGGGTAGGGAAGGGATGGGGGTAGGGAAGGGAACGGATCGAGGTGAGAAAAATAGGCGTTCTACCGAGTGAGGGTAGCGGTTAAGGCAAGCCATACGTTTACCCATCCATACGTGCCATCGGTGTGATCCATACTGCACCCATTCACACCCATTCACACCCATTCACACCCCTCCACTCCCACCCCCTCGTCCCTCCACGCCATCCCTCTCTCCCTCCCTCACCCTTTCCTCGACGTTCCGACCCTCCGCCCTCCCGCCTTTTCCTCCAAAGGTCGCTAGCTGCCACTATGGAATGGATTTCAAGATCGGAAAAGCCTCAATGCATCCCTCTTGCTTTCTTGGTACCCCTCTTCTTTCCTACACCACCATCCCCCCCCTCTCCCCTCCCCCCCCCCCCCCTCATCCCTCCTCCAAAGGTCGCTAGCTTCTGCTACGGAATGGATTTCAAGATCTCACCTCTTGACGCTCCTGCCCTCGCGTGTGCCGGTGAGTTAGTGTGGGTGTGTTGAACTGCCCTCCCCTTCCTCTGCTGCTCTCCCTTCCCTCGCCTCCTCTTTCTCTCTACAGCGCTTTTCCTTGGAATGACGGATGATACGCGCAAGGGCATGGGCAAATTCCCAGTCAACCTGCTCTCCTTCCTTCCTCTGACTGACCCTTGTCTGCAGTCATGGCCCCTCCCTCTGTAACTTGCCGTTCCCCTCCACCCTCCCTCCCCTGCCTCACCTACTCCCCTTCTCTCTCCGGCTGCACTCCTTGCAATGACAGATGACTCGCGCAAAGGCATGGGCAAATACCGGGTCAATCTACATCCTTCCTCTGACTAATTGCACAATGCACATCCCCTCCCTTCCTCCCCCCTCCCTTTCCCCCCCTCCTCCTGCCCTATCCCTCTCTCTCCAGCCGCATTCCTTGGAATGACGGACGACACTCGCAAGGGCATGGGCAAGTACCGGGTTAACCTGCTGTCCTTCACGGCTGCTGCCATCGCAGGCATGCTGAAACACGCCGACTCCGCCCTTGCTGTGCTGCGAGGGTGAGATAACGAGGGAACGGGAGAGGGGAGGGAGGGGGAGGGAAGAGAGAGAGAAAACGAGAGCGTTGCAAGGGCGTAAGCTAGTGCCATGTCAACCTGCTGTCGTTCGCTGCTGCTGCCATCGCAGGCATGCTGAAACACCCCGATGCTGCTCTTGCAGTGATGAGAGGGTGAGTAGAGCGGAAAGGGGAAAGGGGAGGAGAGAATGCTACCCAGTCTACCTGCTATCCTTCGCTGCTGCTGCCCTGGCAGGCATGCTGAAGCATGCCGACTCTGCTCCCGGCGTGCTGAGAGGGTGAGAAGTGGAGGCAGATATAGGGGGAGGGGGAGTGGAGTAGAGAGGTCCTTGGTTTTGCAGGGTGTTTTTTGAGAATTCTCAAAAACACCCTGCAAAATAAAGGGAAGAGAGTGTTGGATCAAAACGGCATGGACAGTACCGGGTGAATCTGCTGCCCTTTGCTCTGCTGCCCTTTGCTCTGCTGCCCTTTGCTCTGCTGCCCTTTGCTCTGCCCTTGGGTGGGAAGAGGGGGGGGTAGGGGTGGCATCCCTCTCCGCCTGCCGTGCAAAACTTCTTCCTGTTGGCATCTCTCCCTCGCTCCCTCGCCCCCTCGCTCCCTCCCTCCCTCGCTCCCTCGCTCCCTCTCTCCCTCGCTCCCTCTCTCCCTCGCCCCCTCTCTCCCTCGCTCCCTCTCTCCCTCGCCCCCTCGCCCCCTCCCCCCCTCTCCCCCTCGCTCCCTCTCCCCCTCGCTCCCTCTCCCCCTCGCCCCCTCTCTCCCTCTCCCCCTCGCTCCCTCGCTCCCTCTCCCCCTCGCCCCCTCGCTCCCTCTCTCCCTCGCCCCCTCGCCCCCTCGCTCCCTCTCCCCCTCGCTCCCTCTCCCCCTCGCTCCCTCTCCCCCTCGCTCCCTCTCCCCCTCGCCCCTCTCTCCCTCTCCCCCTCGCTCCCTCTCCCCCTCGCTCCCTCTCCCCCTCGCTCCCTCTCTCCCTCGCCCCCTCTCTCCCTCTCCCCCTCGCTCCCTCTCTCCCTCGCCCCCTCTCTCCCTCGCCCCCTCGCTCCCTCGCCCCCTCCCTCCCTCCCTCCCTCCCTCCCTCGCTTTCAGCTGTGCCGGGCTGCTGACTGAAGCAGACGCTCTAGGAATCGTGGAGGAGGCAGCAAACCGGCTGGCCGAGCATGCGGTTACCAGGTAACACAAGTAGCTGGCCTGTATGTCGTTGCAGCACACAATCCTCCTGCCCCGGATGTTTTTTCTCGTTATTCTCATGTTCGTTACTTGTCTACTTGTCTTCCTCGGTCAGCCGTGCCGTTTCTACATTTCTTTCTCCTCCACCCCCTCTCTCCCGTTTCTCCACTCTCTCTTCTCCAGAGGTGATTTTTGAGTCGACTAAAAAATCTCTCTGCTCCAGCCACGACCTTTCCACCTCGGCTATACTTTTTTTTTCGTTTTCTCATGTTCGTGACCTTTCTACTTGTCTTCCTCCCTCACCCGTTCATCTCCTTCTCCTCTACCCTCTCTCTTTCCTGTTTCTCCTCACTGCTCCAGCCACAACCTTTCCACCTCAGCAATTCACACTGGTGGTAGGTACATTGGTCCCTGACTTGCTCTTCACTACTATCTTGTCATTTCCATGATTCGTAAGAATCCAATTTAGGTTTTTTTTTTTTTTTTTTTTTTTTTTTTTTTTTTTTTTTTACTACGTATGTCCCCCCTCCCTCCCTCCCTTCCCCTCCTTTCGCCTTCCGTTCTTCCCCACTCCTTTTCCCATACAGACGCCATTGCTCTTCTGCCTCTGGACATCTTTCAGCGCCTTCTTGCCAAGTTCAAGGTATGTTCGAGGTGCTATTTGAGTCTACTCAAAGGCCATATTTCTGCATCTCACTGCATTGATCAAGGTATGCTCGAAGTACTCAAAGGCCATATTTCTGCATCTCACTGCATTGATCAAGGTACATTCGCCCCATAGAATGTGCCCCATAGGCACTCTTTCTTTTCCACTTCACCAAAATCGTCGTAGACCGTAGGGTAACCCCACGCCGAGTGTCTATATTTCTATTTTCTCCTCTTGATACGTTTTCATACGCGTTCTCAAGGCTCCTTAATATCCTTTTAAGAGTCTTTCGCGTTCTCTACAACCATTCGCATTGCTTTTGCCCTCTGTCCTGTGACCCTGTTTCGTTCGCTCTTTCTCTGCAGGAAAAAAATCTGCCCGAAAGGGAAATCGGCAGCGCCATTGCCTACTATGCGCAGCACAACCTGCCCGACCCAAAATCCCTCTCCTCCCTCTCCTACTCGTCCGACCCTCCCCCTTCCTCCTCCACCACCCCCTCCTCCTCCCCATCCTCCTCCTCCTCTCTCCCCGCCCTGTCGCTCTCCCCCGCTCACAACCGCCGGGTGTTAGAGGGGCTCACGTCTGCCCTGCCTGCTGGTGCTGGCAGCATGCCCATGCAACCCCTCCTGGGGCTGCTGCGCTGTGCCATAGTGCTGAATGCAAGCGAAGGGGTCAAGGGGACCCTGCAGCGGTGAGTGCTTGTCCTCCCTCCCCTTCCTCCCTCTCCCTCCTCTCCCTCCCCCACTCACTATCGGTGGCTTCTCGAGGGGCTCACGTCGGCCCTGCCTGCAGGGGCTGGCAGCATGCCCATGCAACCCCTCCTGGGGCTGCTGCACTGTGCCATACTGCTGAAAGCAAGCGAAGGGGTCAATGGGACACTGCAGCGGTGAGTGCTACTGGGCTATACTCGTTAAAGGGTTCTCTTCACTAGGTATAGGTATGTCTCGCTTCAGCCCTGCCCGCTGGTGCTGGCAGCATGCCCATGCAGCCGCTGCTGGGGCTGCTGTGCTGTGCCATAGTGCTGAATGCGAGTGAGGGGGTCAAGGGGACCCTGCAGCAGTAAGCTGTATTAGCTTGTACTCGTTAGTATGTCCTCGTTTGTGAGTGTGGTTAGACATCCCTCCTGACCGGCATGTGCATGCAGATGTTGTTGCTCAATGGAGCACAATCGTGGTGACACTTTGGTGACACTTTGGTGACAATTTGGTGACACTTTGGTGACACTTTGGTGGCACGTTGGTTCCATTGCGTCGATACGTGGCATGGCAGCATGCAGCCGTTGTTGCTCCGGACATCCATCGCTATTCGCTCATGCTTCCACTTCTGCTCTCCCCTCCTCCCTCACTTCTCGACCTCTCCTCCTCCCCCCTTTCTCTTCATCACCAGCCGAGCGGGTGCTCTCTTCACAGATTTGGCTCTGAACGATCTGCTCATGCTTCCGCCTCCGTTCTCACGCCCTGTCTCTCTGCTCGACCCCTCCCCCTCCGGCCTTCCCCCTCCCCCCGTCCCCCACTCTCATCACCACCAGCCGGGCAGAAGCGCTGTTCACAGACGCATCTCTGGACGATCTTCTCGTGGTGGAGAACAGCGACGTGCAGGGGCTGCTGCACGGATTCACTCAAGCTCCCAAGATCCTCTCCCCTTCTTCCCCTGCCCCCCCTGCTTCCCCTGCTTCCCATTTCCCACTGCCTCCACGCTTCCTTCCAACCCCATTCTCCAGCCGAGCGGGTGCTCTCTTCACAGACGCCTCTCTGGATGACCTTCTCATGTTGGAGATCAGCGACGTGCAGGGGCTGCTGCACGGATTCACCTCGGAGGAGCATCTTGGCACCCTGCCTGATCGCTCACAAGCTCTCCAGGTGGGCCTTGCCTTGCGTGCATTACAGCACATGTGGTGGCGTTTCGAGTCGACTAAAAATACAGATGGCCTCATGTCAGATGGCCTCACATCAGAGGAGCGTCTTCCCACCCTGCCTTATCACTTCCAAGCGATTCAGGTGACGATTCAGGTGACGACTCAGGTGACGATTCAGGTGACGATTCAGGTGACGATTCAGGTGGGACCGCTCTGGTGATAACAGCGTTCAGATTACTTCCTCCGCAACCATCCCCTTCCCTTACCCCCTGCAGGCAGCAGCATCTCTTATCGATAGTTACTTCCTCCACCTCCCCTCAATGATCTTTTACCTTTTCCTCCTCCTCCCCCCCTCTCCCGGTTCTCTGTCCTCTTTTCCGACGCCCCCTGCAGGCAGCAGCAACGCTCATCGATACCAACCTCCTCCACCCACCTCTCCTTGCCCCATTCATCTCCCCCTCTCTCCCTCCCTCCTTCCCTTCCCTCATGTCTCTCCCTTTTTCATCCCTCCTCCCCTACAGGCAGCAGCATCTCTTATCGATACCAACCTCCTCCACCTCTCCTCCCCTCATTGATCTTCCTCCTTCCTTCCTCCCTCTCCACATCCCCTCTCTTCCCTTCTCTCACCCCCTACAGGCAGCAGCATCACTCATCGATTCTTTCCTCCTCCACCTCTCCTCCCCTCCCACCGCTGACCCTGATGCTGCGGATGGTGTTGGGAATGCTGCTGCTGCTGCCACCGGTGCTTCTAGTGCTTCTGCTGGTCTCTTTTCAGCCACCACTGCTGGTGCTCGAGCAAAGAAAGAAGCAGCTTATATCGAGGACAAGGCTGCCAGGGCTGCCATGGATGGCTCTGGTTCTGACACTCAGTCTCAGTCTCAAGCCTTCCAGCCGCTCCTGAGTGTTGTAGAGTTCAAACATCTGGTCACTGCCCTCCCTGCCGATGCCAGGCTTTCCCATGACTCACTGTTTAAGGTACAAATGCTACTTCAACGCTCTAAGTCGCACTCTCAGTCTTGGTCTCGGTGTCTGTGTCTGTGTCCGTGTCCGTGTCGGTGTCAGTGTCGATGTCGGTTTCGGTTTCTGTTTCAGTCTCAAGCCTTCCGGCCTCTCTTGAGTGTAGTATAAGCATCTGGTCGCTGCGCTGCCTGCTGACGCCAGGCCGTGTCATCATAACGCATTCTCCAATGTAAAGCGCTGACATGGCGCTGACATGGCGCTGACATGGCCTGGCGTCAGCAGGTCGCGAGTGACGTGTCAGCTCTCGTATCTTTCGCTCTTCCCCTTTTCTTTGAGGATTCTAAAAAACGGCTCTTGTACCTTTCACTCTTCCCCCTTCCCCTCCACCTTCCCCCCCTCCCTCTCCTCACATTCTCCTCTCCGCCTCTCTTCCACCCCTCTCTCCAACTCTTCTCTTCCGCTGCCGCCTCTCTCCCAATCTCCCGTCTCTCCAACCCCTCACAATACGAACAGGCGGTAACAGCCTACGTGACAGCTGTCGGCACAGGATTGGCTGACTGGGAGGTGGTAACCCTGGTGGGGCTGGTGACCCCCTCCCGCCTCTCCCCCTCGGCCATGGACGCTGCTGCTGCCTGCACGCTACTGCCACTGCCGTTTCTCGTTGCCGTGCTGCGAATTCAAAAGCAGGTAAGCAAGAATCTCTTCCCCTCGTTCCTGCCTCCCCCCTTGTCTTCCCCTCCGCCCCCCTGCCTTACCCCTCCTGCTTCTCCCCCTCGGCTATGGATGCTGCCGCTGCTGCCTGCAAGCTGCTTCCTTTGCCTTTCCTCGTTGCTGTGCTCCTTCTCGACTGGTCCTTGGGTACTTCTTGTCCCGCCCCTCTCTCGCCTCGTGATTCCCTCCCACCTCTCCCCCTCGGCTATGGATGCTGCTGCAGCCTGCCCGCTGCTGCCCCAGCCATTTCTCGTTGCCGTGCTGCGGATTCAGAAAGAGGTAGGCAGTCCCCCTCCCCTTTCAACTCTCCTTCTCTCCCTCGGTGATGGATGCTGCTGCTGCATGCAAGCTGCTGCCCCTGCCGTTTCTCGTCGCAAAGGAGGCAGAGGCAAGCAGGGCGGAGAGGGCAGCACGGAGGGATTGAGCCAAGAGTCTGCCTCCCCTCTTATATCCCATACCCCTTGCAGGAGGCACGGGCGTTACTTCAGCAGCAGCAGAGGCGGGTGGCAGCAGAGGAGGCAGAGACGAGGAGGGCAGAAGCAGCAGCTGATAGCTCGGGTCCCCATCGCTGTTTGACTCACTGGTGTCACTCTCTCTCTCTCTCTCCTCTCTTCACCCCAACAGGAAGCAAGGGCGCTGTTCCAGCAGCAGCAGCGACAGGTGGTAGCAGAGGAGGCAGAGACGAGGAGGGCAGAAGCAGCAGCTGATAGCTCGGGTCCCCATCGCTGTTTGACTCACTGGTGTCACTCTCTCTCTCTCTCTCCTCTCTTCACCCCAACAGGAAGCAAGGGCGCTGTTCCAGCAGCAGCAGCGACAGGTGGTAGCAGAGGAGGCAGAGACGAGGAGGGCAGAAGCAGCAGCTGATAGCTCGGGTCCCCATCGCTGTTTGACTCACTGGTGTCACTCTCTCTCTCTCTCTCCTCTCTTCACCCCAACAGGAAGCAAGGGCGCTGTTCCAGCAGCAGCAGCGACAGGTGGCAGCAGAGGAGGCAGAGACACAGAGGGCGGAGGCAGCAGTGGGCGAGTTGAGGGGGCGGGTGCAGGCAATGCGGGGGAGGAAGAGGGAAGTGCAGAGGGAGCTGCAGGTGGTAAAGGTGAGTGGGTCTGTTGCAGGTGGTAAAGGTGAGTGGGTCTGTTGCAGGTGGTAAAGGTGAGTGGGTCTGTTGCAGGTGGTAAAGGTGAGTGGGTCTGTTGCAGGTGGTGACGGTGCGTGGGTCTGTTGCTAGGATGAAGGGAGTTGAAGGGGTGTGTGCAGCTCTGTTGTTGAGAAAGCAGTGGGCGAGTTGAGGGGGCGAGTGCAGGCAATGAGGGGGAGGAAGGGGGAGGTGCAGTTCGAACTGCAGGTGGTGAAGGTGACTGGGTCTGCTAGGTGTGTGTGTGGCAAGGTATTAGAAGGCGTGTGTGCAAAGAGCAGTGGGTGAGGTGGGGGGAAGAGTGCAGGCAATGCAGGGGAGGAAGAAGGAGGCGCAGAGCGAGCTGCAGAGGTCCGTGGATGCTGTATGGGCATATGCGCGTGTTGTCAGGGGGGCGCATAGGGGAGCTGCAGGCGGTGAAGGTGCGTGGATCTGTGGCTAGGAGAAAGAGAGTGGAAGGGGTGTTGCAGACAGACTTGGCTGAGGCAGAGGCACGCAAGGCAGGTCATGGGCTGGCGAAGGCACATTGTTCTACAAGCCTGCCACGTGATTTTGAGTGGGGGGCTTCCCTGATTCCCCCCTTCCCCCCTTCCCCCCTTCCCCCCTTCCCCCCTTCCCCCCTTCCCCCCTTCCCCCCTTCCCCCCTTCTCCCCTTCCCCTCTTCCTCCCTTCCCCCCTTCCCCCCTTCCCCTCTTCCCCCCTTCCCCCTTCCCCTCTTCCCCCCTTCCCCCCTTCCCCTCGTCCCCCCTTCCCCCGTTCCCCCCTTCTCCCCTTCCCCGCTTCCCCTCTTCCCCCCTTCTCCCCTTCCCCCCTTCCCCTCTTCCCCCCGTCCCCCAACTGAGAGTGCTTTTGAGGCGCCTCAAGAGTCACGCAAGGCAGGTCATAGTCTGGTGAGGGCTCAGTGTTCCACAAGCCTGCCACGTGTATGGCTAAGACCACCGCCTAGTGGTGCTCCTGCAGCCAGACTTTGGCAGCGGCAGAGGCACGCAAGGCAGAGGCAGAGGCAGAGGCACGCAAGGAAGTTATTCGAAATGACCTCCTTCACCCGCCCACTTGTCTCCGTGACCCTTGTCCCCCTTATAGGCTGCCCTGCTGGAGGACCACAGGGCAGTGCAGGCTGAGCTGGCATTAGGCACAGGCGCGCAAGGCAGCAATGTGATTCCACCTCTCCTCACTTCCCAACACCTACCACATCTCCCTGACCTTTTTATCCCCGTTATAGGCTGCCCTGCTGGAGGACCACAGCGAGCTGCAGACCGAGCTGGCAGAGGCAGATGCAGAGACTTGCAGGGCAGCATTTTAAGTTATCCTGTATACAAACCTTTGCCTTCAACCCATATCCCCCGTGTAGGCTGCTCTGCTGGAGGACCACAGGGCGCTGCAGACCGAGCTTGCAGAGGCAGAGGCGCGCAAGGCTGCTCTGGAGCGGCAGCTGAGGAGCGCCGCTGCTGTGGCTGCGCAATAGAGACTGTTCGGGCTGCACGTTTGGGGTGCGGAATGTCTTGGCTGCTGCTCTGTGCGGCAGGCTGCAGAGGCACGCAAGGCTGCACTGGAGCAGCAGCTGAGGAACGCCGCTGCTGTGGCTGCACTCTAGATGGGGTTAAGGTGGCTGCTCGTTAGAAGTGTCTGGCAATGCTACTGTCTGTGCATCAGAGGCGTGCTGTGGCTGTGGGGCAGATGCAGAGACGCGGAAGGCCGCTCTGGAGCAGTAGCTTAGGACCGCTGCTGCTCATTGGAGGTGCCTGCAGTGTCTGGCGGTGGTGTGGTGTGGTGGTGCGGCAGGGCGGTGGTCAAGAGGCGTGCAAGGCTGTTCTGGAGCGGCAGCTGAGGAACACCGCTTCTGTGGCTGCACGCTTGAAGGGGTTAAAGGGGCTGCTGTGGGTTAGACGGGTCAGGCAGCGCTAGGGTGTGTGCATCAGGGCTGTGGTGCAGAGGCAGAGGCTCGCAAGGGTGCTCTGGAGCAGCAGCTGAGGAACGCTGCTGCGGTGGCTGCCGCTCGTTACAAGGGGTGTTGCCAGGGCTGCTGCTGTTGCCATGGCTGTTGCTGTGCCTGCTAGCTAGAAGTGTCTGGCAATGCTTCTGGTATGAGACTGCCTTGTGGAGGCGCGCAAGGCTGCACTGGAGCAGCAGCTGAGGAACGCTGCTGCTGTGGCTGCGCACTTGGGGGTGTGGTGTCTTGGCTGCTGCTGTGTGTGGTGGGCGGCTGAGGCAGAGGCTTTAAGACTGCACTGGAGCAGCAGCTCAGGAACGCTGCTGCTGTGGCTGCACGCTAAGAGGATTGACACGCTGTGGGCGCTGAGGGATGGTAGGGGCGCTGCTGTGGCTGCCTGGAGCGTCGGATGGTTGATGGTTGGGGGAGGGATGGTTCTGTGGTGTGTCTAGGCATGTACAGGGGCGGATACCCAGTCAGAGAGGCTGTGGGTAGTGCAGTTTACTACTGGCTTGAAGGCACTTGCAGCTTTTGCCCTCTCTAGTAGATGTGTGTGTACATACAGCATCACTATCTTGTGTATCTTGTATGAAGTGGCAGTACAGGAAAGTTTTGTCATTTAGAGGAGTGGAAGATACAACCAACAAAGGCAGTAACATCATGTTGTGCAGATTAGAGCCACATATCAATGATAATGTAGCAAACACTCACACCTTACCGCCCCCCACCCGATAGACACCTTCCCAAACCAGTCGTCCCGAAATCAGTACTATAGTGGTTAACCTCGTTGATTAGCTTTCAGTGATTAGGTATGTCGCATCAGCACCTATGGCCGTCGTTCTGAACATGACCCATCCATTTATTCTTGATTGTTGCTTCTGCCAGGAAGCCTCAGCTCAGCAGGGGGAGACCAGCCGCAGCAGCAGCAGAGTCAATTGTTAGCACTGCTTGCAGCAGCAGCAGCAGTCGGCAGTCCGTGCCCTGCAGACCTTTCGCCATGCGATGTCTGCTTTGCTTGCAGACCTTGCTTGCTTCCCCCTTTTCATCATCCCAATATCATCATCATCATCATCATCATCATCATCATCATCATCATCATCATCATCATCATCATCATCATCATCATCATCATCATCATCATCATCATCATCATCATCATCATCATCATCATCATCATCATCATCATCATCATCATCATCATCATCATCATCATCATCATCATCATCATCATCATCATCATCATCATCATCATCATCATCATCATCATCATCATCATCATCATCATTCATCATCATCATCATCATCATCATCATCATCATCATCATCATCATCATCATCATCATCATCATCATCATCATCATCATCATCATCATCATCATCATCATCATCATCATCATCATCATCATCATCATCATCATCATCATCATCATCATCATCATCATCATCATCATCATCATCATCATCATCATCATCATCATCATCATCATCATCATCATCATCATCATCATCATCATCATCATCATCATCATCATCATCATCATCATCATCATCATCATCATCATCATCATCATCATCATCATCATCATCATCCTCGTCGTCGTCGTCGTCGTCGTCGTCGTCGTCGTCATCATCATCATCATCATCATCATCTGCAGCTGACGGGTCCCGGTTGTCCTGCGGCTGCTTATGCAGCATCCCTCGCCCTTCTCCTTCCAGCAGCAACCAGCGCTGTTTCAACCCCCGCGTCCGCTGCTGCCGCTGCTGCTGCTGACGCCGCTGATCCCGTTCTGTCAGTTACCGATCCGTCTGATCCGTCTGGTGTACCAGCACCTTCCCGGGGTGCTTTGGGCTTAAGGTCCGTTCGGCAGATGGGGCAGGTGGTTTTGGCGGCGAGCCAGAGGTCGATGCAGTCTGCGTGGAAGCCGTGTGCGCACGCCGGCACCACCTTGATGCGCTCGCCCGCCGCGTACTCGCCCAGGCACACCGCACACTCGCGCACATTCGCCCACGTCAGAGTGGGATGGGTGGGAAGAGGGGGGAGAGGAGCGAGAGAGGGAACAGTCTTCGTCACCGCGATTGCCTCCGAGGCGAAATCGTCGCCGTTCAGCGAAAGCTTCAGAGGGTCATCGCCGCTCAGCAAAAAGTTCAGGTTTCCGCCGCCCTCGATGGTTACCACGAATTCGCCACGCTCTGAACCGGTTTCGCAGGCTCTTTCTTTCGCAGATCCGCCTCTGTTGCTGCTTCCGTCTCTAGGAGCCGGACAGCGAGGAAGCGAAAGCTCTCTGTTCAGTTGACGGGAAGAGGAGCTAAGCGTTCGTGAAAATTCGCGGCTGATACTGCGAAGTGAAGCCAACCCGGTCGTTTCAGTGGTAACCTCGCGACTGACGAATTCGTCGCGAAAGGTGTGAACTGGAAACGAGCGAATGACCGCTGGATCCAGACCCTTGGCGACGTTCGCGGCTTCGCGAAGAGCTCGCAATCGTGCGGCGCGTGCAGCTTCAGGAGCTGTCTGGTAGAACCACCCGAGCTTGCGTAAAATGTACACGAGGAGGACTGTAGCGAGTATAATAGTAACGAATCCCGCAATCGTGACGACGATCATGACAGTTGAAACCGAAGACGTCGACGTGCATGGCGGCGGTGGTGCTGACGTGGCATTTGGCAAGCCGCTTTGGATCATCCCCGACATGCCGAAAACACTGCTCGCGGAATTTGATGACGTTGCCGGCTGATCGCAAGGAGCCATTCGCCTGTGAAACTGGAGTTAAAAATCGCAGGAATTCCGGGTCGCGTGAGCTAGTTGCACGACTAACGTCACAAATAAGTAAGGAGGCTGAAACGTCAGAATATCAAGTCTCCCTGGCGCATGAACGAGAGGGAATGTATTTTGTTTGTGGGCGAAATGTAAGTTGAAGTTAGAGCGTACGATACCAGGAAAATAAACCTGGAAGGAGTATTATCTGGAGACACCCTTCGAGAAGGTGGGACGGGCAGCTTGAAAACTTAAAGTGGAAACCCGATCACGCCTGAAACAATACAAACAAAAGCTGCAGCCCCAAAATGTCTGAATACTAGAGGCTTGGATCTCTCAGCTCTTCTAATTCTGGGGTTTCCTTCACGTTAGTTCTGGCATCAAGTGGAGTGAGTTATAGCTTTCGCGCCAAGTTGGCGCGAGGACTCCGAGAAACAACATCTGCACCGTGCTTACTACTAGTGATCGAACGACAGCCAGGCGTTATGCGGCTCCATGATGGTCAAGGATTATATTCCACGGCCACGGCGGAATTAGAGTTTCACGGGGGAAGCCACGGGTTGGGGATTCAGGAGGAAGCCAGCTGAGGTGAGGAGCCATGGATTCTGAAAGCCAGGTGAGGAAGCTGCCATGGATGCCACCCAGTAGAACGGCCAGCGCTTTCTGCTGGCAGCTGGAGCTCGCAGAGGGAAACTTCAGCAGGTTCAGTGCAACTGAAAACGACTGGTTTCAGAGCGTTACAGAGAGTTAAGACCTGGTTGGGTCGAGTTCGGTGAGACAGATTTCGTGGAGCACTAGATTCCAGGTGCTGTCGGTCTGGTCTGGGGCGGGGCCGCTCGACCTTCCTGGCTCAAACATGCGCCAAGTTCAGATTTATACACGTGTGCATCTCGCATTGGTGCTTCGTAATATTAGTCAGCAGCCGTTCCTTAGCAACCAGATCGGGGGGAAATGGACGGTCTTCTGCATACTTGTTGTCGCTGCGTGTCGTCCGGATCAGCATTTGATTGGCTGGGTGAGGGGCTAGTGGTGGTTGGTGACAACGAGGGGGAGCCGCGTTCAACCATGAGCATACTCGTTAAAACGCGTTGAGCCTCTAGTGAAATACAGTCACGAAGTACCACGGGAGTATGGTTATGAGAAGAAATCCTTATGGCTGAAGATATCGTACATGTGCCAACAAAATGGATGTAGAATGCAAAAGGGCGCGTCATTTTAGTGCACGTGGGTATCGATTCAAGCTTGATCACCAGTTGTACAGCATACACCCCGCCTCGCCTCGCACAGTGACGAACAAAGTTACTACCGCACTTTTGCTCAACTATCAATGTGTATCATATCAAAGTAAGAACTGAAAGAATAATTGAGTAGGGAGAGAGTACAAGCAAATATACCTAAGTGTTGTACCCTCTAAGGGGTGACCCTATACAGTCTATGCAAACATTAGAGATACACATATTTGACACACCCCCTAGACTGCATAGGGGCAGGTCCTAAACAAGCAGCTCAAGGCGGCACTACTAGTCCAGCCACTGAGACAAGGGTCTAAAGACCAGTCAAAAGGAGTACAGGCAAGGCAAGAACAAGACCAGGACGGCACTACTAGTACAGCCACTGGGAGAGGACACAAGTCCAGTCTGAGTACCAGATATATAGGACAGCACAAAGTCAAGGCCCTAGCAAGTGAGAGGCTACAGGAACTAGACCGAGCTGTACACAGTGCCTCTAATGATCTTTAGGCGCAAGCGCCTTCGTAAAGATATCAGCTGTGTTGGCACCGGAGGCCAAGTGTACTACGCGAGCGTGGCGGCGCTGCTGTAGCTCGCGCAGGAGGGAGTACCGCAGCTGGATATGCTTCGCTCTGCCCTCGAGTCGAGGCTCCTGACACAGGAGGATCATGGCACTGTTGTCAGCGTACAGGACTGGGACAGAGCTAGGCCGCTCACCTAAGTCAGTGAGCAAGAAGGACAGCCAGCGGAGCTCCTGAGCCGCCATGGCACCAGCGTAGATCTCTGCCTCACAGCTAGACTGGGCAATAGACGAGGAGCGGGTACCTCTCCACGAGACGGCACCAGAACCAAGGCTGAAGCAGTAGCCCTGGGAAGACCTGAGTGTCTTTGGCGTCGTCTGCCCAAGAAGCGTCAGTGTGTCCAGTAAGGACCACTGACCTACGTCCTCCTTGCACTAACCCCATGCCCGATGTACTTGCAAGATAACGCAAAACCCTCTAAGCGGCAGACCAGTGCTGCGGTCGGTGTCTGCCTGCAGCCACAAAGCGAGCCAGGATGCTGAGAGGGTATGCAAGATCTGGACGAGTGCAAGTCATCAGGTACAGGAGGCAACCCACCAGCTCTGCGTAGGGGCCGCTGGGCTCTACCAACTCCTCAGACACTGGAGCGGAGAGTCTGTGGTCTACAGGCAGAGGGGTGGGCTGTACAGAGGAGAACTGAAGGCTGAACCTCTGAAGGACCTGGCGCACCAAGTGTGACTGAGTCAGGGTGATGGTGCGCGCTGCTCTGTCCCTGGAGATCTGCAAGCCAAGGTAACGGCGCAGTTCTCCAAGGTCAGTGCAAGTGTCTCTCTTCAGCAGCTCTGCCTTCACGGAGGCCAGTGCGTCCCTGTCTGCTGTGGCAAAGACCAGGTCATCCAAGTAAACAAGGATGTAGAACGGAGTCTGGCCAGCACGAACGAAGAGTGAGGGGTATGCAGAGGACGGAAAGAAATGCAGGTCAGCAAGGGTAGCACGCAGCGTCTCGTACCACTTACGGGGAGCCTACCGCAGGCCGTAGACGGGACGCCGCCGGAGCCACTGGGTCCCAGGAGGGAAGGTGCCAGTAAGGCCCTGAGGGCGACGCAGGTAGACCTGCTCGTGTAGGCTGCCCTGAAGGAAGGCAGTGGAGAAGTCGAGGGAGTGAAGCTCGTAGTCACGCTGAGCTGCTACGTGTAGCAGAACCCTAAGAGTAGTCAACTTTAAGGTCGGAACGAAGGTCTGGAAAAAGTCCACCCCCTCACGCTGACTGAAACCTCTAGCCATGTAGCGCGCCTTGAACACAGGCGGCTTTCCAGGAGGGCGCTTCACCTTGAAGAGCCAGCGGCCATCGACTACGTTCACCCCAGGCGGGGGAACTGCGTCGACGAAGGTGCCGGTGGATCTCCAAGATGCCATCTCCTGCTCCATGGCAGCTATCCACTGAGAGGCCCAGGGTCCCGAGGTAGCCTCAGCGTAAGTGCGAGGGGTCAGGATGTCGAAAGCGTTTGGGTCACCCTCAGGGACTAGCAGCATGGAACAGAGATGGGGAGAAGCCTCGGACAAGAAAGCAAGCTCGAACTGGCGGTCCTCCAGGACGTCACTGCCGAGGGCAGAAGCACCCCCGACAGACGGAGGACAGGCAGGGTCAGAGACCAGAGCTGTGGCGTAGTCAAGGCGGCGGGTAGAGGCGAAGTCAGCGACCGCAGCGACAAGGGCGTCAAGACTCGAAACCGGAACAGACGGGTCAGTAACGAGGGAGGCAAGGACCCAATAACAAGAGGACGGGCGGCACGCAGGTAGTCAGATAGAGGTGGGGGAGCAACGACAAGGGAGGACTGAGGGGGCAACGGGAGAAGGGAAGGACGAGACGCATGGGAACGAAGCAACATAGGGTGAGACAGGGGAGACAGGCCGAGCACGGGAGGGATGACGAGACCAGACGTGAGCCGGAGGAGTCTGGTCAGGAGACAGAGGAGGGGACACAAGGGGGGAGCGAGGGGGAAGACGAGCGGGGGACGAGTCCGACGGAGGGAACACAGAGCCGTAGACGGGAAGAGGAGGAGACGGCAGGAGAGGAACAGACGCAGGGTCAGGGGACGGAAGGCCTAGCAGGCGAAGGGCTGACACCGGCGGGGACTGCTGCTGTTGCGGCACAAGTCCGACACTGGGACGGCAAGCTGCTCCTCCGCTACCGTCAGAACACTCCACGCCTGCAGCCCAAGAAGGAACACCCTCAGACCCCGAAGCCCCTCGAGCACCGGGACCACCCCCAGGGCCACAGGGAGTAGTACCCACTCCACCACCAGAACCCGAGACGCAACGAACGGCTGCGGCGACGGAGGAGACGACGGCTGCAGAGGCAGAGGCGACGGCGGCTGCAGAGGTAGAGGCAATGGCGGCTGCAGAGGGGGCGGAGGAGGAGACACCTGGGGAGGGGCAGACGGCGAGGACTGCGCGGCAGGACCACCAGAGTCAGAGTCGACCGGGACAACCGACGGGAGAGGGGTGACGTGGGACACACCAGAGGGGGCAGGACGGGGAGGGGGAGGGGGGGGGGGGGGGAACCACTGGGGAAGGAGTGACCACGAACAGGGGGGGGGTGACAGGGGGATCGCGGTGGGGGAAGCGACGGTAGAAGGAGACGCACTCGTCAAAGGTGACGTCGTGAGAGCGAAAGAACCAATGAGACGGCGGGTGGTAGAAGTACCAGTCAGACGCGTCAAGGGGGAAACCGAGGACGACGCAGGGAAGGGTGCGGGCAGTAAGCTTGTCCATGCCAGAGGCACGGACGTGAGCAAGGCAGCCCCAAACGTGGAAGGCAGACGTGTCACCAGGAGACCCGGTCCAACTAAGGGTCGGCGAAACCTGCGGCCGCTGAGAGTGCGGCCACAGGTTAAGCTGGTGAGCAGCGTAGCGCACGGCGAACGGCCACAGAAAATGGGGTGCACCGGCATGGATCATGGAGGTGCAAGCCACCTCCATGACCAAACCGATGCGTCGCTCAGCGACCCCATTCTGCTGTGGGGAGTCCGGCAGGGTGAACGTCTGGGTGATGCCCTCCGCATGACAGAAGCGACCAAGGACATCTGAGGCAAACTCGCCACCACGGTCGGATTGAAGACGCAACACAGGGAGACCTCGGTGGACACGAGCTCAGACAAGCCAGGGGATGAGAGCGTCAGGCACGTCGGCCTTGCGCTCCAGGGGAAAGACTGTGGTGTAGCGAGTGAAGTCGTCGACAAGCACGAGGAAGTAGCGCTCTCGACGCGGCCCATGGACGGGGGCGGGGCCCCAAACGTCCATGTGCAGGGTCTGCAGCGGCGCGGCGGTAGGGGGAAACGAGGAGGAGTGAGGGGCACGGCGAAGCCGACCCTCGACACAAGGCGTGCAAGGTGGGGCGGGGGAGGAGGGAAAAGCGGGGAACGAACCAGGGAGACCAAGGACGTGCTGGGACAAGTGACGCAGACGTTGTAGTGCAGGGTGACCTAGGCGGTGGTGCCAAAGGAGAGTCGGGTGAGTGAGGGACCGACAGGAGCAGGCAGCAGCAACCTGGGTAGGCGCAGCCACCTGAGGGGGCGTCCTAGCCGGGGGGGTCACGGTGTCCAGGGTGAACAGGCCGGACACTGGGTCCCGGGGGAACGTGGACAGGGGAGCACCAGTGGCGGCCTCGGTACAGACAGCATACCGCTTGTGACCAGGGAACGTAGTGGTGATGCCAAGGTCCTGGAGGTAGCGGACACCAACTAGGTTCCTGGAGAACGAGGGGATATGTAGACCTGTGAGAGAGCCCGAAGGAACTGCCGGACAGGGAAGGGTGGTCGAACTGCGGGCGACTACTGGACCGCCGGAGGGGT